TATTGTTTTCCCACATTTGCATGCATAAAGTGTAGCTGGGTGAACATTTACTGTTTTCTTGTTTATAAATTTCCTATTGCTATTTCCTGCAGTCATATCTTGAGAATTTTGAGAATTAAAAGATTAACAGTTAAGAGGAATGTGTTAGTGTGCTAGAAGGGATAAAGCTATGATGTAAAAATAAACCTCTCGTAACCATGAAGAGTGAAGTGACGTGAAAGGGCATGTTTCTGCTTTCTGCAGAGTTACTCCAAGATGACAAAGGTGTCTCTGTTCCAAGCAAAATAATCCCCAAACACACAGCTAAGTGTGCTCGCGGGGCATGTGTAAACCCCCACAAAGCTGAAACTGTTTCAGCTCTGCTTCCCTGCAGATGTTCTGTTTCCCTAAGCACACATGCATTAGACTCCGATATTTTTTGTTGTATTCTTGTACTCATTCCTAACAATTGCCTCTTTACTTGTTTGTGTTCTCCCTCTTCTGCTCCAGCTACACCAGGTGCTAGTCCAACTTCAGACAGGAGAGAAAGAACAGGATTTCTCCCTGCTGCCCATTCAGGTGTCCATCAGTGTGCAGCTATGGAGACTGCCAGGATGCCATGAATTTCTGGCTGCACTTGGTGAGTCAGCTGTTTGCTTAAGAGAACTATTGACGCATGTGTTCTTGTGGACTCACATCTATAATGTATTTGTTATAATTACTGTCATTTTGTGTTTGTATAGGATTTGACTTATGTGAGGTAGGCCAAGAAGAAGTGGTGCTAAAGACAGGCAAGCTAGCCAACCGTCGTACATTGCACTTTGCTCTCCAGTCTCTGATGGCACTGTTTGGTACGTATGCTTATTTACTGATGTTCATTGTAACATTTCTTCTGTATCATATCTCAATAGTTTCAATTCCATGACTGTACTTTGGAATCATCCAGAATGTCCATTATATGTTTTTAGCAACCATATTTGCTTTTAGCAAACAGTCCGTTGTTTTTTCAGGTGTAGCATTTTTTCATTCTCTCTTTTTTCTTTCTCCAGACTCAACAGAACTGCCCAAGCGTCTGAGCCTGGACAGCTCATCTTCCCTTGAGTCTCTTGCTTCAGCCCAATCTGTGTCCAATCCCTTGCCAATGGGATACTCAAGCCTTCCTTTCTCTCCTCCTTGCCTGGAAAATCAGGCATCAGATGCCATCTCTGTATATAGCCTCAGTTCTGTAGCTTCCTCCATGAGCTTTGCTTCCAAGTCAGAGTGTGATTTCCTTGGTCATCGTCAACGCTGCGGGGCCACAGCACACTACTCTGTCCACAAACACCCTCATGTTCCTCGTAGTCGGTCTTCTCCTCATGGGGCTTCTGCAGTGGCAGGAGCCCGGGGAGATGAGGAGGAATATGAGGGCTTTTCTATTATCAGCAGCGAGCCACTGGGAAGTCACTGTGACTCTCTGCCTCTACCACCAGGCCACAGCCAACGCCACCACCGTGGAGGCAGGGGAGTTGTTGGTGGGTCCAGCACAGGAGCAGGGAGAGGCTACACTTTAACAGTATCATCAAGGGGCAGTGTCAGCACCCCTACATCCCCTATCAAAACATGCCTAGTGCCCAGCCCAAACTCACCATTCCAGAAGGTGGGTAAGGTGAGCAGCTCAGATACTGGTGAATCTGACCAGTCCAGTACAGAGACGGACAGTACTGTCAAGTCTCAGGAAGAAAAAACGGTCCCTCTGGATCCTCAGGAACTAGCCCAGAAGATTCTGGAGGAAACTCAGAGCCATCTACGGGCTGTGGGTAGTCTTCAGCAGGCTGGGGCAGAGGGTGGGACAGCTGGAGGAACCTCCACTCGGAGCAGCGCCTTCCGCTCTTCTGAAACTAGCGCATTCAGCCGTCCTAACAGCAGTGCTAGTGGCCGAGCTCAGTCTTCCCCAAAACCCAAACCTCCCTCACGTTCCTCTTCACTGCAGAAGATAAGTTCTGGCTACAACAGTCCTGCAGTCTCTGAGTCTTCCCAAAAGGAGGGCAGCCATCCTTCACCCACTCTGGACAGCCATGCACAGTTCAAACTAAAGTACCCAAGCTCCCCATACAGCGGCCACATCTCTCGTTCCCCGAGTAATGTGTCTCCCAGTTCTGGTCACCAGTCACCAGCTGGTAGTGTGCCATCCCCTGCCCTGTCCTACTCCTCTACAGGCTCTGCCTGCTCTACATCAGCTGATGCCCCAGACTTGGACCGACTAAGAAGAGGGGTCATTGATGAAAAAGTCCAAGCTATCCACAATCTGAAGACCTTTTGGGCTAATGCTGCGGCCCAGCAACAGCAACATCTAGGTCCGGTCAAAGCCGTTCACAGCTCTCCTGGACCCCTTGCTTCTGCCAGCAGGGATGTACTGAGCCTTCTGAACCTCTCCCCACGCCACTGCTCCCCTAATGACACCCCAGACAGCCTGGAGCTGCAGGAGCAGGGGCTGCAGTCACTGGATAGAGGCAGCAAGAACTCTTCCAATGGACATCACTGCTCCAACCCTAGAAAAGTGGCCCCATCACCAACTATTTCCACAAGCAGTAGCCCTGGTGCTCGTTCTATCCGACTACCTGCTGGCAATGGATACAAATTCCTGTCGCCTGGAAGATTTTTCCCTTCCTCTAAATGCTGAGACATTTAAAATGGTCCCATATTTTTATCATTTACTATCCTGTGTGCTGGAGGAATAGGGCACTTTTTGAGGCCCATTGTTGGTTGGCTAAGCTTGACTAACAGAAGGATTTGATTGGTCAGTGAGTGTCATCCTGCAGAAGCACATGGATGATTTAGATAAGTCTTGTCTTTGTGCCCATGATACTGTAAATGGCAATGAAAAATACTCAGCGACCTGATACTGTGTTTGTGTGTAACTGTGTGTCAGGTAGATGTAAATGCCATTTGGTATTCCCCCCTCCCAAAATTTTCTGTTTCTGTGGGCCAACATGCAACAGCTATGACTGATTTCCTCCATTCTATTTTTTGTTTTTAAATTTAATGGGTATTGTTATTATTGTTTGTTATTGTTATTAATATTATAATAATAACTATTATGTTTTGTAAATTAATTCCAGTGTTTCACAATCAGTATTAAGCGTTTTTATATTATTAAAAAGTGAACAAACCTGTACCATGTAAAAATGAATAGAGTGGGGGGAAAAAAGATTTAATATTTTTTAACGAAATCAAAAGGGCATTTTTGCCTGATTTCTTTGTGAACTGAGTGTCTGCTCTGAAGCATGGATTCTCTTGCTATTCAGTGTTAAGTCCCATGTATGACTTTTTAGCCCACAATTTTTTGAGATTAAACATGACAGTTTCATGTCAACCATCTGTCATTTATCAGTAAACTGTTTCAATAAAAATCATAATGTTTGTTTTCATGTATTCTTGACTTTACATTATTCTGTTGCATGGCCCCATTGTTCGACAACCTGCGCTTATATACAGTAAGTTCAGAAAGTATTCAGTGCCCTTCACTTTTTTCATATTTTATTTTGTTAGAGATTTCATTTACATGATAAAATGGACATGTTGGCATCAATCCTTAACCTGTGAAGTAAAGTGTTTTGCAAATTTATGAAAAACCTAAACCCGAAATATCCTATTTACAAAAGTATTCTGACCCTTTGCTATGTGCCTTTCTAAACTATGTACAATCAGTTCAGTTTGCCACAGGTGAACACTAATCGCATTTTAGACAGATTAGATTAAAGCAAAAGGAATACACCTGACCCAAATTTGAATGGCCCCACAATTCACATTGTATGTCAGGACAAAAACCAAATCATGACATCTAAGAAACTCTCTGTAGTTCTTTGTGAAAAAGTTGTAGTGATGCAAAAGTAAAAAAAAACTATTTCTAAAGTGTTGAGTGGTCTCAGGAGCATAGTGCCTTCAACACTTGTGAAATGGAAGAAATTTGGATGATGTGATCAAGCAATGGGGTACTTCTCAGCAGCAGGGGCAGGAAGAGTGATCAGAACTGAGGGAAGGATTAATGCAGCCAAATGCAGAGAGGCCCTTGAAGAAAACCTAAAAGTGCATGACCTAAGACTGAAGCAATGAGTCACTGTTCAACACAACAACAACCTCAAGCATATAGCCAAGACAACAGTGGAGCTGCTTAAGGGTAGGTTTCTGACTGTCCTTGAGTGGTCTAGCCAAAACCCAGACTGAAATACCAAACAGTATCTGTGCAGATTACAGAAACCTATCGAATCAGAAGGAGCTTGATGGGCAGTGATTATAAAGACTTGCAAAAAAGGTAATTTTGTCTGTTTAGAAATAAATGTATTATATTTATTAAGTGTGCAAAATGTGAAGGGGTCTGAATAATTTTTGAAGCAACTGTAGATATACAATACAGTAGATATATAGCCTACTGTACACACAACAGTTGTTCCAAGCCTGCCACCAGTGGGACCAAGACAAATAGGGCTCACAAGATGTAAAAAGTGTATTTCTGTCATACAGAAGTAACTTTACCTTTCGTGTCTTTGCTCTAGTTTTTTTTTTCTTGTCAAATATTTTGCCCCTGTATGATTCTAAAAAATTAACAATGAAACACTTCTGATAATAAAAAATTGTGTTGCTCAAAACTAATGGTCATACTAAGGGTGGTAAGGGGCCACAAGTAGACCTAGCTTCAGTTTTAAGAGGTCTCAATTAAAACATGTTTACAACTAGTGCTATAGGAAGTCCTACAGTACTTTAAAGTAGATGAACATAATGCCAGGCTCCAGGTCTAAGGACATTTAATTATTAGACTAAGCAAGGGTGCTTAGGACCAGGCAGCATAAACTGCATCCTCAAAATCTTTATTATGAAAGTGATTTTTCCGATTGCTTTGTAAATGACAAGCCTTAATAACGGATATGGTTTTAAGAAAACAGGCGGGTTAAAAACCACCAGAAAGACATTTTATTGGTTAAAATGCGAGTCCATCCCTCGTTCTGCCAATCACCGCTCACGATGGATGGAAGGTACAGCTCATAGCTGCTCATGACGTCAGCAGTACTTAGGGTGCTGGGCACTATCTTTAGTCTCGAAAGAAAAGAAACCAAGATGGTCCTCATCAAAGAGTAGTAAGTGTAATGGATTTTGGCTAAACCCTTCTTTTTTTAAACTAATGCGTTGTTTAACAACAGTTGGATTTTTTTCCAGTAGCTGGACATTAATGAAAACTTTTAGTTTCGTCTGTGTCTGACACGAGGGAAGGGTGCGAGTGCTTAAGAACCGCTGTGGCCTACCGGCTTTGACAGCGGTATGACAGCTCCTGTTACCTTACGGTTTGTCATATAGTCACACAGCTGGTACCCAAGTTCTCCAGTCGGTGGTTTGCGTTATATGTTTAAGTGTTTCGGCCTTTGTGTATTCGAGCTGTACAACTTTAACTCAACTTGATGAGTTAGCCCACGATTTGCTTGCTAATGCTAGCTAAACTAACGGTATTACATTAAGCTACAAGGATGTCACTTAACCTAGCGCTGCTAATGTTAACGTAGCAAAACTGACACACAAACTCGTGACGGTGTCAGATAATTGCACCCCAGATAAGATCATAGATGCAAGACCGAAGCTTTTATTAATGAGCGAATTCATTTGTCCTGTTGTGTCAAACCAAGCTATTTCAATCAACTAGCTAGGTAGTATTTAGCTCGGTTATGCCAAGTTACCTACAGTGTGTGTTACCTGCCCGAGTCATGGAGTTGAATCTAGAGATGATCTTGTTTCTATTAACTGTTAAAACCATTATCAGTTAAGAAAATGTGTCAAACCACAACAGTAAACGAGTCATAACAGTTAATCCTAATGCTAGCTTTCTTCTTAGCTTTTGAATACTACGCTAGTCAGATCTGTGCCAGGAAGTCTGTTATAACATGACTCTTCCTAACATGTCGTAGCCACCTGCTATCATCAACATCACATTTCCTTTCATAGTGACGAAAAGACATGTAATGTATCTTTTAATATGACTCGAATTTATGCAGCTTAGATGAAATTAACTCAAGTACTGTAGCACAGGATTGTGGCACCAGTCCTACAGATCCGATTGGAAGTTGTTGGAGTGTTATGCAAACTGCAATACGATTGAAAGTTAGAATGTAATATAGAAAAAATACCAACAAACTATCAGCTACGTTTCAGCAAGTTCCAGGATTGATTAACCTGCCTTCCATCTTGTTGGATTAGTGTCATTATATTGGTCATATACTGTATGATCAGTAGTTGGTCTGGTCCTCTTTATTATAGCTCATAGGTGTTCAGAAGCATGCCTAAACATGTATCTTCTTTGCTTGTCTTTTTAAAACATTTGAACTAAATGTTTCTTTGTACTTATTATTCACTGCAACCACTGATTTGCACTCCAGGTTATGGTTTTGGCCTATTTGTACCTGTAAATGTACCTGTAAGCCAAGGCTGTTCATTCAGATATTTGAAGTGAGTGCATGGCTGGATTAAAAATATTACACTGCATCACTTCTAACATGTTTCCTTTGTCATGTTATGCCACTGCTCTTCATCAATAAACAAGTGTAAGTGCCAAGTGTATTTGTCAGGTTAGAATACAGTTTTGGTTTAGAGTTACACTTTAAGAGAATATCCTCTGCCTACTGTAGCATGTTCTCTCTCCTCTTTCACTGTGCGATTAGTAGTCATTGAGGGAAACTTCTTGTTCATCAGACTAAATGATGCAACTGCATGGGCCGCAGCATACCACACCCTGTAGTAGAAGTTGCAGTATACTTCTGCTAAGCACTGAGTAAAGACTGTCTTTAACTTTCCTACGACTTCTTACTTAATCTTAGTGTTTGGGCTAATAGAAATTCAGATATTATTTGTTCTTTTGGATTCCTTCCACTGGTCTGAGTGACAGTTGTTTTTTGGTGATGCTTTTGGCCCACAGTAGCTCACTTACATTGTCCTTTCCTCTTCTCACACCTCTCAATCTGCTTCATCTCGTTGCCATAGCCAGTCTTGGCATTACTCAGCTTGAACCTTTCAGTCCGTCTGGTGATGGCTTCTTCTCATTTTGCCGTGTTGAACAGATCAGTAAGTTTTTTTCCTCAGGAAGGATGTTCGTGACCAGCTTCCCGTTCCATAGCAATGAGAAGGTGTCTGTGCATTATAGAGGTCATTTCTAATGCTATGATGGAGCACACATGGCTGTGGCAGTCCTTATTCTTCTGCACTGGCTCATTGTTTACTTGATACGGGATGGGGAGTGACACACAATCAGCATCCCAGTCACTATCAATATATGTGTGTGGGTATTTGGCAAGGCTACAGAAAAGCTACCGTGTCCTCCTCTTAGATGTGCAAGAGTCAAAAAGTTTGTTTCGAGAATCAATTATCTAATTTATGTTATGTGATATGTCTGCATCTCCAATAGCAATGTGTTTTTGTCTTATTTATTCATGTTTTATACGTTTTGGACCATGATCCAAGCTAAGTAAATTGAATCATGTTTTTCTGCTCCTTCCTTGAGTGTTAAGTACTTTCTGGTGGTAATATTTTACTTAAGCTTGTTGCTCACTTTCAATTAAATGAAAAATGTAATGTTTCTGGCAGAATTGCTTAATATTGTGTCTTTGAGCTATAAGAATTATGTTAAATCAACTTAAAAAAATTGTTCTCTCTTTTGCAGCCGTGTGGTTTTACCCTGTAGTGTTGAGGAGGTGAGTAATCAGGTTTTGTTTCCTTTTAATTACATGTATATTGACAAAATGACTAAAATAATTTGTCATTCTTGTAATTGTTATATGAGCAGGCAAGTGTTTGTGGTGCTTATAGAGCTTGATATCATGAATCCCAGTCTCTTACCCTGCTGCTTTACATAGTGGAAAAAATCTCTTGGCAATTAATGCCATATTTTTAAAGCTTATTCCAACTAATTGAAAAGTAAGTGTACACTAATAAGAGCTCTGGTAGCTGAAACATCTGATGTCTGTTGCACCATCTGTTGTTCAAACATAACGTAAGACATTAGTTTCTTTCCCTGGACTATTACACTGATTAACAGCTAGTCTGTGTTGCTTTTTTTTAACTTGTATATATTTTGTCTTTATTTTGTTCTTATGTTGTGCACATTGGGGGCCATTGAGCTGGAGTCATATTCCTTGTATTCTTGAAATACTTGGCGATAAGGTTTATGCTTAGTTAATTTGGCCTGCAGATTTTGGACTAGTCTAAGTTGGAAGGACATGCAGTGTATATACTGTCTGCTGCTCATCACTGTATTTGGATTTTGAATGAAAGCAGAGTAAGTATTAAAGCCTTGCTCACATTTCACAGTTCAGGGGTTTTTCTTTGCACATTTTCTAGATCTATATTCCATTTGGTTACAGCAGGACACAAATTATTAAGTTTATGTTGACTTATTTGCTCAGATGTACAACACAGGTGATTATTGCGATGTCTCTGTAATCATACATTGCGTAACCAACAGTGGTTGGAAATATTTTTTACTTGTGAAGCTGAGGTTTGGAACCCCACAAGAAATACATACAGTACAGATAAGCAAAATTATATTTTATATTTTCTCCAGACTTTTCTGTAATTTGTTTTTCCTTTTTGTATACTTGTCTATAAATTCTTAAAAGGAAATATACTTTTTGGTTGAACTGTTCAGGCTTATGTCTGCATTGAAACTGCATAGCCTGTGATGAGGTAGACTTTTTCATGTCAAGGGGTCATAAGCCAAAAAAGGTTGTAAACCACTCCCCTAAAGCAAAAATAAATTACAATGTTGTAGAAAAACATGGACAGATTGAACCTGGAGCATCGGCAGACCAACCTTTATTTTATTTGAGTACTGTACAGTAAATCACCAATATATGGTTATGATGTTTGTGTTATTTGTGTTACAGTATCAAGTGGGACAGCTGTTCTCTGTAGCTGAAGCAAGTAAAAATGAGACGGGTGGTGGTGAGGGCATTGAGGTACTTAAGAATGAACCTTATGAAAAAGATGGCGAGAAAGGACAATACACGCACAAAATCTACCACCTAAAAAGGTATGTGCTTTAAAAAAAATTGAACCAGATGATTTGAGCTCCTAGTTGTCTTCTCAAAGTGTAGTAGCACAGTGCTACCAGGCAGTGGCAGTGTTGTCCTACCTTAATTGGTAAACAAGTTGTACATTTTCCACCCTGCACAATCCTTTCACTAAGGCCACTGGTATGTGAAGCTGTCTTGCTTTCCCCATTCCCATACTTTCCCCAACCCTACAGTAAAGTCCCAGGGTTTGTCAGGCTGTTGGCCCCTGAAGGCTCCCTGATATTCCATGAAAAGGCCTGGAATGCCTACCCCTACTGCAGAACCAGTGAGTCCCCCGCCCCGTATCTCATTGTTTTACCCTGAAACCATTAGGTACCCCTAGGTTTATATGTATGCATATCTAATAATGTTTCCCCTCTTTCTCCTCATGCCTAACCTTGATTCAGTTGTTACGGTAAGAAGCTTTAAATGGCTTTTTCTTAGTATTTTCTTATATGATCAAAATGTTCTTTCAACTAAGTTCAAGGTATCTCAGTTTACTCAGATTTTCTATATATTCAGTTCTGTAATTTCCTATCCTCCTTGTTCCTTCCAGAATGAGTATATGAAAGATAACTTCTTCATCAAGATTGAGACGTGGCACAAACCAGATCTTGGAACACAAGAAAATGTGAGTGCTTCTACATCTTGCACAGCAAACATTAAGTCTGAACATCAGGTTTGAGTTTGTAGGCTTTCCTTACAGTGTTTGTTTGTTTGGTTGTTCAGGTGCACAAACTAGACAACTCCACATGGCAGAATGTAACTGTTGTGCCCATTGACATCGCAGACAGAAGTCAAGTGTCTTCTGTGGTAAGTAGAAACTCTTGTGCCACAATTCCAGTGCAAGATAAAATGCAGTTTGGCGCCTGCAAGTGGACGAGCCTGGTCATTACTGAGCTATCTGCTAAACCTGGCCAGTTTTACATAAGGAATGTTCAAATGGGCTATATTTATTTATTTATTTCTGACAAACAATAATTTTATGATTTAATTTAATTTTGATCATATATTTAAAAAGTGGCTTTGTTGTGTGTTTGATTTAAGAATGATGGTTTTCCGGTACAGCTGGAACAATAGAAAAACGGAACAGAATTACTGACGAATGTATTGTTAAATTTAACATTCAGTTTTGTCTTTGGTCAGTTTTCTGTGGTGTGTAGGTCAGAAAATGAAGACAAAAGCCCACCTCAAATGCACAGAGCTTAAGTTGACAGAATCCAATTGCTTCTACTTTATTTCTTATTATTTATTTGAGTTTTGAAATGATCAAACCTATGTCATCGCACAGAGACATCTACAAATGTTTGACTTTTTTTTTTTTTTTTTTGGCAAATGACTTTAACGAGGTAGGAGTATTTAAATTCCTAATGTACTGTTGATTGACTGATTAATGACTAATTGTCCCACTGAGAGCTAATGTGAAAATGTGATACTGATGTTGACCTGGTTAAAAAAAAAAAAAAAAAAAAAGACAAGAGAAAAATGAATTTGCCAAGCAATATGGAATAATTTTTATCTAGCCTCTGAACCCACCCAGCAGAGCTGGAATACTTACAGCCACTTCTTGTATATAGTCTAGCTGTTTTAGTGAAACTGGTAGATACAAGGCTGGAAATGTATTTTATGAAACTGTATTAGTGTGAAATGAAATACTGTACTATGAAATGCATGTCTTCCTGGTTAATAGTGGATAGCAATAACTGGCATATTTGTCACAGAAAATCATTTTAGATGGCTGGAGTAGAATGATGAAACTGTTTCATTATGTGTGCGTTACCAAACATTTGGTCCCCACTTGACTAAAGTATCTGCAACCTAAATGCTTTATATTTAAAGCATACAGAGCATTTGAGCAACCTAAGATGGCTTCAATAATATTTCAGAATATAAATGGGGTTTTAATACTGCATTTGGAGTCTCTGAAATCTTCTGTGAGGTTGTTACACGTTATGTCTGGTATTTTTCAACACATTGCCTCATGTCATTGTGGCTTGGTGTGTGTCTGTGTGTGCATGTGTGGCTATTTGGCTGTGAAGCATTGGTTTCTGGGTGTGTACGTGTTTGTTTGTGGTGGGTAGTTAACGAGGCGGACGTGTTTGCCTTGCTGGACGACTGTGTTGTGTCTGAGGGCCCTATCAGCCGTCAGCCTCGGGCATGGCTGCAGGGCCCGGGGCGTACCGCCAGCACAGATGAGTTTGTTAGTGTAATTAAGGCTCACAGTGTTTCGTATGCCGAAGCTAGACAAATACACACCCAACACAAACACACACACACACACGCTCTTTTACTTGAGGAGTAGCTCCTTTTCGTTTACCACGGCACATCGATTCACAGACCTCATTAGTGCAGCACAGTGTATTGTTATAGTGATGGAGCTCTCAGCATTAAAACAGCCAAATTAGTGTGTGTGTGTGTGTGTGAGAGAGAGAGTGTGTACGCACGCACGCATGTAGGGGTGTGTTTCTATCTCTTTCCACACATTTGGCACCCTCCTGTTGGCCCATATCCCTGAAAAGCAGCTTTTAGCTGCAGGCACATCATGATTTATTTAAAATTACTGGGCCCTTGAGCTGTTGATAATTTGAAAGCCATTTTATTTATTTGTATTATTCTTCCCTGTTTTATGAAGTCAACTTTGTCATGTGCTCAGCATATGTACTCAGCATCCCTTGGTATTTTTCTATATACTTTAAAAAAAAAAGTTTTTGCCATGGGACCAAGATCCTCCTGTGCAATGGGTATAATTGGTTATTTCACTAGAATGGGTCTGGCAGGACCTCACTTTATGTACTACATATGTAGGGTACAGAGTGCTCTTTCAATTAGAAATGGCACATACACATAAACACTCATCAGCGCACATGCAAGTGGATGCCAGGACATTCACTTATATAAACTGGCACCAGTCTCACCCTAATTAAACAGATGTTGCTGGTGGCATCAGTGCTCCGTAGATGGTCGTATCTTGGAGCTGCTGAGTTTTGCTCTGGTCTGGCTGCATAATGTTATCTCTGGGGGTGGCGGGTTTTTGGAGAATGAGTGCAGCACTCTTTGACCTGTCAGTGGTAGTGGCTGCTCTGCCCCTTAGTTTAGAGTATGATACTGAATACCACAATGCAATTATTCTTTCTTTTGTTCAGGTTTTTTAGAATTATGCTAATAATGTGGTTTATAATATTAAAGTACTTCAAAATTTGTACCAAACTTGCAGATTGCTTAAAACATTTGTTGCCAAATAAATCAAAATACCTGTTTATGCTCAGTTCATGGGAGAGTAGTATTCATGTATACCAATTAAATTAAGATTTTAAATACAGGTGGATTACTTTGTTTGCTGAACAGTTTGTATCAGCAAAATATAATGTGCTGTGTATTGTATTAACTAGATAACTTGTTGTCACTGTAGGACTTCAAGCCTGAGGAGGATCCCGCCATTTTCAAGTCAGTTAAGACCGGCAGAGGACCTCTTGGGCCCTCCTGGAAGGTAATGAATGCACTTGTCAGCTGTGGAAAGTGGATATCACCATTGCAGAAAACACCTATTAATGTCACAGGAGATGAAAATGAACCCATCTTTGACCCAGTATACCAGACTGTTCTATACCTGGTCACTGTCATTCACATAAGACCCGGGTCTGCGGCTGTCGTTTCACATACAGTCCAGATGATCCAGTATTTAAACAGCTGCATATGTTTTTCAGAGCAGCGCATGTAGTTTAAAAGAAAATAATACATGCTACATTAAAGTACAAAGTCTCTGAGTGCCCAACGTTTAGGAGTTTAACAGTAGCTGGCCAGATACCCAGGAAGTCAAACAAATCATCATATTTAATATGTTGTGGCAGTTACTTTCTGGTCCCTGACTGCCTGAAATCTTTGACTTATAGAGGCTTCAGTGGACACTTTTTATCTTTGTATCATCCCGACGATGCTCTTGCAGGCATTCACTGTTGTGGAGTCTCTCTGCTCTTAGTCTGGACTTCAGCAAGTGGGATGCAGCTCAGTCCGATCGAGATCAGGTGATTGACACAGCCAGTGAAAGATGCTCCACCTCTTAATCCTGAAAAGCTCTTTGGTTACGTTCATCCTCTTGGTTCCATCGGCAGTGAAACCATGAATGAATGTTAGTGTGCCAGCTCCACTGGCAGCCCTACATGTCCAAGCCATAACAGAGCCAGCATCACGGCTGACAGACGAGGCGATATGCTGTGTGTGTCATGAATTGTTCATTTTTTCACCCCACACTTTACATCATTATGATAGTAATAGCTTTTTTGTTTCCTCAGTCCATCGAGCTTTGTTCCACAACTCCACCAGTTTCTTTCCTGATGAACTTTGTGTTTTTTCAGTCATATCAGGGGTTTGAATCTTGTGGCAAATCCTCTGAGGTTATGCTCATGAAGACTGTTGTTGATCATTGACAAGGAAACATGGACACCTACATCCTGGAAAACATTTTTGACTTGCTGTGCAGTCATAAGGGGTTTTACTGCAAATGACTTTCAATCAACCCCAAACCTCGTGCTCCTTTTTGACCAGGTTGTTTACCATTTTGCAGTTTTCCTGGGTGCACCTGCTGTTTAGGCTGTACCCAGCTGTTGATTCTGGCAAACCAACCATCTTTGATATCTGGCAGTCCTTCCTTTATCTTTGTCTTTTTCACTTGCATGGTCACCTCTTTACTCACATATTGACAGACAGATCCACCTCAGTCGTAATGGCATCTCTCAGCTGAGAAACGCGTAGTAGCCAGGTGTCCAACTATTTCTTAACCCTTGAAAATTGGATGCTGTGTTAAAGGGCTATGTCACCTACACAATCCAGACACCCTCACACCCCGGATGCCTGCTAGATGTGTGCTCAGAAGAAGCTACAGGGTTGATGGAGACACACACAACAAACAAAAAGCCACTGCTGGAAATGACAAAAGCAAAACACTGGGCATGTTGGTTATTGTTTCCAGAAGGTATGTGAGAGACACTCAGACAAACTGGCAGAAGGTTCAGGGGTCTTCTCTGCAACAGGTCTTAGAAAGCTTATGAAGACAGCAGGTAAAATGAATGTAACCAAAAACAGGGAAATTCTGAAGGAAGACCTTCTGCAGCCTGCCAGAGAGCTGCTACTTAGGGAAAAGATTTATTTTCCGACCAGACAACAACCCCAAAAATAAAGCCAAAGCTACTCAGGAAATCACAAAACTGTGTTCATGTCCTGGAATTGGAGTCGGAGTCCAGACCTCAGTCCATTCAGGAATTTGTGGCTGGACTTGAGAAAAGCTTTTCACTCATGGTCTCTGTGCATGTATGTGCAAATTTCAGTGAACCTATTTATGTAAACCCAAGGATTGGAAACTCAATTTGAAATGAAGAGGTTGTATAGTTGTTACTGATGTGTATTTAATTTAGATAAGCTTTTAGAGATTTGTTTTTACCTAGCACTATGTACATGAGAGCACAGAGCTGGAGGAAGGCTAGAGTGGTGCTGGTCAGCACTGTAAGGCTGCAGTTTGATGAAGACTAATCACCTCTTTCTCAGCTCTCCAGGTCACTTACAGGTTAAGCTCTCAGCTCAGTGTGACAGAAGATGAAGAGGGAAATGGGGAAAAAACAGTGGGTAATGGACATTGATTCTAAATTAGGCAAGCAGCAATTCTGAATAAAGACTTTGTCAGGAGTTTTGTTGCTTTCCCCTCTAAACCTTGTCGTACACCGCAGCCTCACAAACGAGTCCTGCTCAGTGTTGGAGCACTGAGAATTTCTGTTCTGCAGTGGAGCCCTCAAAGTTCACCATGGGAAACTTTCCTTTGCTTCAAGAATTTTCACAGAACAAAGGCAGCCAAAGGGCTTTAAAAAGTATTTAAAAAAAGAAGCAACTTTTTATTTAGTGTTTTTAATTAGATCACTTTCCCGTCCGCTGTGGACATGGAAAAAGACTTTTTGAAAAGTTGGGGGGGAAAACTGGTTATGTGACAACAGAGGCACAATTTCTGCCGGCTTCTCAGAGCAATGAAACTCTTGTCTATCTCTGCATGCACACATGCTTGCATATCAGTACCCTTTGTGTTTCTGAAAACTTCTGCTCCTTTGAGTGGGGCACAGAGAGGGAGAGAAGAAATGTCACCGTAAGTGTTTTGATGTAGAATCCGTTTCATGTGAAGTTCTCTTTAGCGATGACAACTTTTCTAAACCCACTGCAAATTTAGAAATGTTTCTCATTTCCCCTCTTCTGCTCTCCTCCATGATCGTAGCATCAAACGGCAGTGGGATGAGGGTGATTGAGGCAGTGAATTAATTAATTAAATAGGTGTTCTCAGAGGGAGAGTATGGGTGTTCTGGGGGCGAGCAGGTCCTAGGTGTTAATAATGTAACTAGCTTTGCTCCATGACGCCCTTATCATTTCGCGAGCACCGTTTTATCTACTGTCTGTGGCCACAAAGACGCGTCTGTCGGGAACGGTGTCGCTGTCAGGGCGGAGGCAGAGAAATGGTTCCTTCATCTGGAGTTTATCCACTTTGCTCTGCCCCAACCCCCCTCCGCCTTTTCTTCCCTTCTTCAGACGGAGGCAGAGTGCAAGCAGCGGATGGATTTAGGAAGTGTGCTGTAGATTAGAGCACTTTTATCTTTGCTCAGCACATCTTCATATTGATAATTATTTCAGCAAGCTCCATACCCAAAGCGTTATGTATTTATGATTTTTAGCTTTGAATGAGGCCAAGATTAGTCTGAAATAATATTCTTTCAGCCTACTGCTATTTTTACGGTTATTCTTTCATCACAAACTTCCTGTCGACTGATAGGTTGTAAGTTTTGTGTTTTCTTTGCTGTCCTTCTCCTAACAGAAAGAGCTGGCTAGTAAGACTGATTGCCCAAGAATGTGTGCCTACAAACTGGTCACAGTCAAGTTCAAGTGGTGGGGCCTACAGACCAGAGTGGAGAACTTCATCCATGAGGTTAGTGGCATGTTTACAAAGTTTATTTTAATTCACAAGTTGTATTCAGACTCTGGGAGTTCTCGTTTTCAGGAGCAGCACTGTACCTCTCTGATAGACTGAGACTACCAGTGGTTGTTTTTTGACTTCAAGTGCAAATGTGTCATGATGATATGATATTGTGTTTTTATTTTGCTTCACAAAAAGTATTTGATTTTCAATCATATCAAGACTGCAACTGTCTTCCTCAGCAAGAGAAGAGGATCTTTACCAACTTCCACCGCCAGCTCTTCTGTTGGATTGATAAGTGGGTGGAGCTCACCATGGATGATATTCGGCGGATGGAGGCAGAGACGCAGAAGGAGCTGGATGAGGTGAGTGTATGAAGTAAAAATGATCCATTATTATTGGTAAACCTTGTGAAAATGATGGTACAGCTTCTGGTCGTAATTGGCTTTGTGCACAGAACTGTCTCTAAACACAAGCATGTAGATAGAGCATTACATTTTAAATACTTGGTAAATTTCAGATGAACCAGTGCTGCTTCAGTGGAGTTTTTATCCTACTGAGGCTTTCCTGACATCTAGTGATTGGAAGACACCTTGTACAGACAAGGAGAGGTCTAGAGTGGTAAATCAGGAAGTCTGCTGGAAATAAGTTTTGTAGGTTCTCTGCCTTTCTGAATAGTAAGGTACTGTGCCCTTTGTTACCATATGTCAGCCATTTTTCAAACTGTTTATTAACTTGCATTTGCCATTGTACAGAATGAATATTGTCTTTTTACGCACTGCATTTGTTTGCATTGTCCTCGTGATTTGAATCCATTGAAGATGTATCTTCTAATCTTTTAAAATAGTTTCATGAGTTCCTAGTAAATGGGTCCCAGCTACCGTTACAGGCTTTGTAATCCCCGTTTGTGTGATGTAGTGTATTTTATTTTTGACCAGATGTGCAAGAAGGGCTCTGTGTGAGGTATAAAGGTTGCAGATGAGTAGCCAGCCCGTGTGTAGGTCTTTGTATTGCTGCACGTCTTCGGTATTGTGAATGGGGTTTTGGTCCACAATGTCTGTGTGCACATGTGTATGCTTTCTCCATAGCTCACTCTGAATCAGCTAATCAATAACACCAGATTACAGAGAAATATAAAGTGTGCACAAGGCCATCAGGTGTTTTGCCAGCCCAGTGAAAATGGTTTGAATGAGTGAATGTTGTGTATGTGAGAGCTTTGACTTCTGGATCTAACCAAACATCTGGACAAACTTTTCTCAGAATCACATATGGTATTTTTTTAAGAGGTGGCCAGCAGTTTAAAAACATATACAGAAGGCCTGTCTGGTACCTGCAGTCCAGAGCCTCCCCATAGAGGAATACAGAGCAGAGAAGAAAAACAGTCCTCTGGTAAATCACAGGCTTTAATTTGTGTGAATCGCATTCTCTGTAAAAAAAAAAAAAAAAAAAAAAAAAAATACCAATGGTTTTACTTTGGAACTAC